CTCTCTCTCTCTCTCTCTCTCTCTCTCTCTTTTGTTTTTGTTCTTTTTGGGGTATTTTTTGGGGGGTGGGGGTGAGGAGGGGGTTTGCAACTTGCACTTTCATAAAATAATATTATACATACCCAGAAAATCTCCGGCTTATGAAACAAATCCTCCCTTGAAAACACACTCCAGGCAAACAACTAACAACAACAAAAATATTATTTGAACTGACACATGAGAACGGCTTACCTTCGCTGACAACGGCAGTCTTCAATAAAATGATCGAACGCTCAGTCCGGAGTGCGAGAAATGGCATTTATCTTTTTTCTGCTTTCCTGCGCCACGACAAATAAATGTGCCACGACGCGCTGGAACCAGGCGCTCGTCAATTTTTGGGCGTGTGGAATTATTGGTATAATCTTAAAGCTTATACATTTGTCCAGTTTTCGATTAAAAAAACAAACAACCCATTTTGAATTCAAGCCGAGATATTTGCGGTTGAATGAGGTGGGGGTTGTTAGGTTTCAGGGGTAAAATGAACGAGAAAATGGCCCCCCAAAGGTTGGTAACTTTTACTGCTTGAGAGTCCTTGGAAACTGAATTTTCAAATCTTTTTAAAAGCTTTTTTTTTTTGGGGGGGGGAGTTGTTATCAATCCAGCAACAGCTGGGATGGGGGGGGGGAGGGGTTGGTGCCTTCAATCAACGTTCTTCAGTGAAAAATAAACAAACTCCACACAGATATGTGTTTTACAGTAAGTAAAAGGTGTGGAGCCGAAAAACAGAAGCTCGATAAAAATCTCCAAACCGGTAGAAAATTGTTGGTTTCTTCGACTTCATTATTTTTACGAGCGCCTGATTTCACCACGATGCCTCGACAAAATGACAAGGATGTGCTCGCGATACTAGAAGTAAAGTTGGAAGCCACGGCAGACGAGGCGTCGCTACATTGACTCCCCGTCACTTTCCTGTAGAATGATATTACAGCCAAGTCAATATCATGCCTCACCTGCCCGCCGCCTCCAGCCGCACTGCTCACAATAAAGGTACCTCACCGCCCTTAACCTTTTTCCACACTAGGCCTTCTTTTTATCATCACACTCTGTTATAAGGAAAGAAAGAAAGAAAGACAGAAAGAAATAAAGAAAGAAAGAAAGAAAGAAAGAAAGACAGAAAGAAAGTCAGAAAGACTGAAAGCTAGCCCTCATATCCCCTTCTTTTCTCTCTTTCTCTCTCTATCTCTCTCCCTCCCTCTCTCTCTCTCTCTCTCTCTCTCTCTCTC